GCCTTGCTCAGGGCGTGCTTAATACGCCAACACATAGAAAGATCCGACCTTATCGTGCAGCTGTTTGAAGCCATCTGCTGCTGCTGTAGCCTGGTGGGGTCTGTAGGAACATATCAGAGCTGCTGCAAACACCCCACACCCCCATTATATTTATATACAGACAACTTTTTGCTGGCTGTGTAAGAAAGGCAACAGTTACGTGTTCAAGACAAGCTCTGACTCACTGCAGCATCTTATTTATTCGGTGCCTCATGTCGGGTTTTATAACGACTGAGCTCATGTGCATGTCTTGGATGCATGTTGCCTTTAATTCCAAATATTTTTCATGCCCGGTATCGAATCCTTCCGCTCCAGTTCGGTGGTATGAGTCATCACAACATCACGGACCTCACCGCCCAAACAACCCAGCCATGTTTAGCGTTCGCTTATAACTGCGCGACTGAAGTCACGTGGCTGGAAGTATCCAGGGTCGCATATATCGCGTAGGTTTATCACATGGAGCCCAAACATCGAGTGACTCAACATTCCTATGCAATCCCTTTCAATCTCAAGATCGTACGGTTTGGGCCGAAATTACCGCACTACCTGACTTACGCACACTTGCATCCCCAGCTCATTGCAGCCAGTAACCTTCGATACGACGGCTTGAATCTAGCACTTCAAAGCGAAGGATAGCACTTCGCGCGTAATATGATTGCAGTCTGAAGGATATCCTTTCTCACCGTGACACAGAGGGACTGAGGCTAGGCCCTGTATGCAGACCTCGTTCGCTTTCTCTCCCTCCTTCCACAAGCATGTAAAAAACATGGCGAAGGAAGCATGCACCACAGTATAGTGTCCGACTGCAGCCATTTGCTTTGGGAGACGCGACGCCTCGCCTCTTGGCGTACCCGCACTGCATCCGTTTCGTCTGTTACGTCAGCTCGCGGCAGGCTCGAGTCTCCGCTGCTGCAGCTCCAGCGCCAGCCGATGACATGCCGGCCGCACAGCACGCCGTGTTTGTTTTCAGTGTCCTCGGGCCGATTCCGGCGCTGGCGGCATCAGCGTCCAGGTTTGGGGCGTGGCGTAGCTACCCTCTCCTCAGCCTCGCTGTGGCGCCGAGGGCTGTGGCTTTGTTGCGGACGTTCGCGTCGCCGAGGGCTGTGGCTTTGTCGCAGACGCCCGTACCGCCGAGGGTTGTGACTTTGTCGTAGACGCCCGTACTGTCGGGGGCTCTAGCTTTGTTGCAGACGTCCGTGCCGCCGAGGACTGTGGCTTTGTCGCGGATGCTCGTGCCACCGAGGGCTGTGGCTTTGTCGCGGCCGCCCGTGCGACCGAGGGCTGTGGCTTTGTCACGGACGTTCGTGCCGCCGAGGACTGTGGCTTTGTCACGGACGCTCGTGCCACCGAGGGCTGTGGCTTTGTCACGGACACTCGTGCCACCGAGGGCTGTGGCTTTGTCGCGGACGCCCGTACCACCGAGGGCTGTGGCTTTGTCGTGGACGCCCATACTGCCGAGGGCTAGGGGTTTATTGCGGACGCCCGTGCCACCGAGGGCTGCGGCTTTGTTTCGGACGCCCGTGCCACCGAGGGCTGTGGCTTTGTTGCGGACGCCCGTGCCGCCGAGGGCTGTGGCTTTGCTGCGGACGCCCATGCCGCCGAGGGCTGTGGCTTTGTCACGGAGGCGGTCAGACTGAGTGGCTGCAGCCGGGTGCGGTCACTGCGGCGTCGGTGCGGCGTCCGCGTCCGCTGAACCGCGGCTGAGTCAGCCACGAGTCACGCTATCATGGCTGCCGCTCCGAAGGTGTGCTCTGACCGCCACGCCTGTCCCCATCCCCAACCGTCCGTCCAGGGGAAGGAGGTTACGCCCAGAGTCACGGCTGCTTCTCTGGGATCTGAAATTGAAGTAGAATTAGGACACGGACTGAAGTATGCTACGGATAGCGCTCTTCTACTGAGCGACTGGAGGGCTGTTGCCCATATCTCTTCCGTGGGGCTTTGCAATTGGTATGCTACAAATGGGCATCGCATACCGGCTTATATGAGCACATTGCTCCACACATTGCATGCATGCTGTAATTGTACATGTTACAATAGCTTTAAATAGAAGCACATAATACCCGACGTGTGGTAGGACGCATAGAGAAACCTTCATCGTGCAACAAATTAAAAGTGCTTTACCAAACCTTGAAGGGAACAAGTCGCGTGTTAGCAACTTAATTTGTTTGCTCGTTCACAAAGATTACTGCACTTTTCCTGCCGTGTGCTGCATGCAGCATGCCGGTCCCGTTCGTGCGCCCGAGCCGTGCTCGGGGAGCGGCAGCGGCACCGCCGCCGGCTGCCGGTGGGTGCGGTCCCACGGCGGCGCCGCCTGGCCAGCCGGCGGCGCCTCGGCCGGCGGCGCGGCGCCTCGCTGCCGTAAATGATTACCCGGCCGAGGCGGTCCGCTGCTCGGCGGCGCCCTGCGAGGCACGCGCCGACAGCGGCCAGGCGCAGCGGTTGGGGACGCCCGCTTCGCCGTCGCGAGGAGCGGCCGGCGAGGCCGCCCCCATCCGGCCGGCCCGTCCGCACCCCTGTGGCGAGTGGACTGGATACGTGACTGAGTTTGGAATCAGACGGCGAGGGCCTGATTAACACGCATCGACTCCGGCACCCAGCTCTCCAGCGTTACAGAGTGGTATTGTGCTCGTTATGAGACGGCCCTCTGTACCGGACGAGGCCAGCTGGGAGGCGAGTATCGACTGCGCCCCCACCTGGCCGCCACCCTCACAGGCCGGGGGTGTTTACACGACCACCCAGGTCAATCCCGGGCCCTCACACGTCTGCAGGCTCTCCATCACGTCACGCTCCCTGGCGTGCCGTTGCAACGCGCCGACTGACGCCTCGCGCCTCTCCGGCAGCGAATGTCGGCGCGCTCATCCGCCGCCGATCCGCGCAGCGTGACGCCATTTGTCTTGCGTTCCAGGTTGCCATGGCAGCGGTTTCGCAGAGAGCCAGCGGTATCCCGCAGCCCGTCTCCAAGACTCGCGGTCCCAGCAGGCTGGCCAGCATGCAGGTCAGTGAGGCCCAGCCTCTTCGCTTTGCAGCTGCCGCGAGCCTTTGTTGGGTCACGAGCCGGGCGGGGTATTTGCGGCCAACGGACTAAGGTATGCTAAGGTATGCGGATGTGTGCGATGGTGCCCGAGGAGGGTTCAGGCATGGATAGCGGCTAATGAAGTATTGTTGGGCGGCTGGTTAATGCAAAGATGCCGATGTTGCGCCTGTGTGAGAAATAGGACTTCACCCTCTGTGGCGGAACAAGCTCTGTATGGCCCGTGTCTGCAGATAGGTCAACTAGGTCACTGAATACAGAGGTATAGGAGAACAGGATAAAGTAATAACGATGCGTGTTATTATGTTAACACAAACTCTCAAACATAGTCACTCAGGTTCAATACCATTTTATACTCAATACCCTGCCCATGTCCCACCAGTGGCGTAGAATGTTAGGGGAATGTACCAGAAAGGTTGTTGAAAGAGTAACTGTGCTATACCACTGCCATACCTTAAGAATCATCTAGGCCAATAAATTCCGCAACAAAACTAGAGCAACACAAAGCTCCGAACTATCAAAAATATGCATATGCAAAGTGGAGCACATGGCGTCACAGTGGATACGGAACACAGTGGAGCACATGGGATCACAGTGGACGCGGAGCACAGTGGAGCACATGGGGTCACAGTGGACGCGGAGCACAGTGGAGCACATGGAATCACAGTGGACACGGATCACAGTGGAGCACATGGGTCACAGTGGACACGGAGCACAGTGGAGCGCATGGGGTCACAGTGGGCACGGAGCACAGTGGAGCACATGGAATCACAGTGGACACGGAGCACAGTGGAGCACATGGAAACACAGTGGACACGAAGCACAGTGGAGCGCATGGGGTCACTGTGGACACGTAGCACAGTGGAGCACATGGAATCACAGTGGATACGGAGCATAGTGGAGCACATGAGCTCACAGTGAACACGGAGCACAGTGGAAGCACATGGGGTCACCGTGGACGCGGAGCACAGTGGAACACATGGGATCACAGTAGACACTGTGGAGCGCAGCAGAGCGTACTGGGCTGAGATCCAGTATTGGGTCCAAGTGCATGCATTATAACAGTCAAACCAGCAACACATAACCCTTATTACCAGCGCGACTTCCACGTCACGAGGGGCCTCTCCTTACGTGTCCGAATTCCAGGGCGAAATCCTGGCAACGCTCCAATGTAGCGGCCTCTTTGCCATAGGCGCCATTGTTGTCTGGCTTAATCTCCGTTTTTCGTCAGCCGGTTGATTATCATTGCGGTTTAAGATATTTAACCCTTGCCTCGTCTCCCACATCAACGTAACATTAATGATCTCATGGCTCTGAAGCACTGCCTATTCATATGATCTAACGTGTAGTTGCGCTCATGCATACGTCTGCGGCCATATATAGTGTCATGAGATAGCACCTACCGCACTAATAGCAACAGCAGATCAAATTAAGCAGTCTTCTGCAGAAATGGGACGATCAATGCCCCGGTCCGGACATCGGAGACCTTGACCTCCTCCTGCCACAGCGTGTCTGCTCATCCGTCCCATCATAACGCCGCGCGTGCCTCTACAATCTGCATACACCCGGTCACGAACTCAGTCGCCGCGATAATCCCGCCGGCCATTAATCGCCGTCGTCGGACGTATGATGGCCGCCGTGCCCGGCGCCGGGCGTCGCGGACGGCTCGCGGGCCCGGCCGTGTTCGGGCCCGGCTCGCGGGCCGTGCCAGTCCGTCCTGCCCGGCGCCGCGGCCCATCGGCGCCGCCCGCGTCGCCCATTTGCCGTTAGTTGCCAGTTCGGTTCGGACACACGCGACCGCGGCCGGGGCGATTGGCGCCGCCGAGGCGCTCAAGCCTCGGAGGGCCGGATGTTTTCAAAACACGACCGCAGCATCGATGGGAGCGAGCGGGTGGGCGGTAGCTGTCACGCGCCATCGCCCCAGGTATTACCGCAGTGTTTGGACACGGCGTTGGGGGAGAGTGGTTGGATGAGGCGATCGGTGGGCCCAATGCGTTGGACGTGAGCTGAGCTGTCAGTGCGTTTTAGGACTGGGTGGGCCGCTGTCACATCCTGTTTGTTTTCTGTAACTGGTGCGCCAAATTAGCCATCAATTCAGGGCGTTAAAATGTGCAGCGTGCGTAATCAGCTTCAAGTCTTTCGCGCGTCGCGCAGCAGGAGATGCATCACATGGATGTGTGGGAGCACTTGGGGCGAACCCAAATTTCTCTCATTGTGGAAAATATCAAATTGCTCCCTAATCTTGCCAATTTGAGCCAAAGTCTTACAAAATTGGCCAGCATCTAGTATAAACCTCTTAGCTCAGGGTGAGAAGGGAGACGGGGGCGGCGGGGGAGGGGGGGGGGGGGGCTCGGCCTGTTTGACCCTCCCTTTGGTTACGTCCATGAGGAGCACAGCGCTGCCACCGTCCTCCTTGCCATTTGGGGTTAGTCGCCGGCTCGGCATGTCTTGCTCCGTTTGTTTAATGATTAGGGTGGTTATCTCGATACAGTAGAGAGGGTCATTAGCATGATTTGGTAAATACAATTGGGGCATACGGCATGCTGAAATTAGAGATCACGAAAGTGTCATTCAACAATTGCTCGTTAAGGAAACCATTTATAGCACCTTTAAGTTGCAGTAAAACTGCTCGGTTCGATAACCATTGAAAAAATCCATGAAATCCTGTGAAAGCAGTTGAAAGTTTGGCTTGAGGTCAACCAGCAGGACCCGCTCTTAATCGTGATTCCAAGGCTGCACGCCTAAAGAACCCGCTATTACTAAAAAATGCACCGTTTTGCTGAAAGCGTACCCATGGTCATCAGACCAATGCCGGCGTTTTCTTTTCAGTCGCAGTTCCAACAGCGCGAAGCAGCTGATCGTCAGAAGAAGCTCGCCGAGCTGGCTCCAGTGCGAGCCACGCCTTCAGAAACAGCCCGCCCCGCCGCGGCGCCCGGCCGAACTCAAACCGAGCTGGGCCACCGCGGGGCAGCGCCACCGGCGGTTGACAAAGCCCGCCAGGCTTCGTCGGTGAACCGTGGCAAGGTCAACGGCAGCGTGGGCTCCTCGGTGGGCCCCGTGTCCGCCGGGGCCCGCGGCGCGCCAAGTTCGTCTGGCAGCGGTGGCAAGGTGCGCGCCATGTTTCAAACGCGGCGCGCCGGCACAGCCGCACAGACGTCGCCCGTCGGCTGGGACAGGAGCTACCCGCTGGACCCGATCAAGAAGACTGCGCCCGCGCCCTCCCGCGCCGCCGCCCAGCCGCCTCCCCCCGCAGCGGTAAGTGGACTCGTCGGTGTCGACGGCGGCTCGTTGCGCCGGACGCTGAGCGAGGAACTGCGCGAGGACGAGCCCATGCGGAGGGTGGGCGGGATGCGTAACTCGGTGACGGCGCCGGAGATCAGGGTGGAGCGACTCAAGCCCACGCCTCGAGAGCGCGAGGCTGAACGGCTCCGGATCAACGCTGAGCTACGCCGGCGCGAGCGCCAGCTGCTGGCCAGCATCAAGGACAGCTCGGCCGCGCTGGACGCCCGGCGGGTCCATTGCAGGGCGATCGGGGTGAGTCCGGACTGGTCGTGACATCACACGCCCAGTGGCATGGCTACGATCACCTACCGCACCGCTCTGAGGCGCGGCCGCCGGGTTTTCGGCCGCGCCTCTCGTTTTGGTTTCGGACGGACGGCTCTTTCGTCTGCATGGTTGCAGTTCTGTTTATGGCGTCCATTTGGCTGTACAAGTCTCGTGAGATTTTGCAAGGCACGAGGTCTTTCCCAGCTCTGAACATGCTGCTGTCGTGTAGTCGGAGGCTTTTGTCGGAGGCTTTGGTGGGAGACATCTGATGATATCTCCCTGGTCGCGCTTCGCACACAAATTCGTTAGACGCCTGTCCATCTCAGCCCGGGCCGCTCAACAACGCACCATATCTCGCGGATCAGGAGCCTTCACGTTCGAGATCGGATCCCCTGACAGACAGGATCACGCTAAGCTAAGACGTCACGAAGGGTATGTAAGCAAGCACACAAATCCGCTCCAGGAGATTATAGCTGGTTGCCAGAATGGTGATCTGGTTCCGGTGGTGATGACTTCTGTCTCAGATTTTTCAGGCAAATGATGCTGATGATCAGATAGCAGGTTATGGCGAGAGATTATCCTACTATAGTTATGCACCCGAAAAAATGATGGATACGAAATTGCTTGTCCTGTTGCACTTCCTCTCCAGGTACACCAGACGTCATCAATGAGATAAACATATTCGCGGCACACGCTCGGTTGTGCAGCAATCATTCGCTGGCAACGTCCCCTCGACCATTTACCTCCCAATATTGCCTTCGAATCTATCGATTAGCACAAACTCTATTGTCTTGTTTTGTCGGCCCTTAGCGTGCCTTTCGCCTGGTGCCGGTACGAGGGTGGTCAGCTGTTGCATGTCAGCGGCATTGTGCCGACCCTAGCTGTGCGACAACGCCGGTGGCGATCGATTCCGGCCTCAGGTCGGTCCGGCCCAGGTCCCGCGGGATGACGCGTGCGCCCCTGGCTGACCTCCGCGCCCCTGGCTGACCTTTGCGCCCCTCGCGACCCTCGCTGATCTCCGCGTCCCTCGCTGAACTCCACGCCCCTCGCTGACCTTTGCGCCCCTCGCGACCCTCGCTGACCTCCGCGCCCCTCGCTGACCTCCGCGCCCCTGGCTAGCCTTTGCGCCCCTTGCGACCACCGCTAACCTCCGCGCCCCTCGTTGACCTGTGGGGTTTTGTAAACAGGTCTGAGGCAATGGCTAAACCCCTGATGGTAGAAGTATAAAGAAGCAAGGTACTCGAACTTCGTTCGTATATTTTCGTCAGTTCTTAACTCAAGTACAGAACAGTTAGAATAATCGTCGATCATACAAATGTCAACGTCATTTTCACGTACCGTAAATCAAACAGTCCACCAGTGTTTTGTGTCACGGAAGTTGCAAGGCAAATGTTTATGTACACCGATTCGAGACGAGATAACGTCATTGCTATGACGCAAATGCTAAACGGTGATGCTATCTTCCGGTGAGGCTTCTATCTGAGGCGTCAATCTTCTAGGTCAAACGTTCCCCTCCAATGCTTAAAGGCTGCGAGGCCGTAAGATCGTCAAAAGCATTTGGTGGAGCCAAGTCGCTCGCTCAAACACGAGGTCCACTTACATTTCACAGAAACTTTGCCAGCCATCTCGTGGCTCGCATGCGATGGTATCGTATGGACGGTGAACGGACTCGCATGACCTTGAGGCCGATTCAACCTTGGTGGATCAATAAATCAGACCCTATATCGTCGTGCCGCGTTATCCATTCCCTGGAGGCGGGCGGGCGTTCCACCTACGCACACCCGTATCACCCAGTATATGGCTCGCCTGGTGCGCCGCGCCCCGCCGGCCCCCCACGGCGGCGGGGGCGCCCGGTCCGCCTGACCGAGACAGGGCCGCCGTCCATGCCGGCCGCGCCCGCACCTGTGGCGTGCTGGCCGCTCGCGCACACCTGGCCGATCGACCGCTGACACGGCCGAGGAGTCGGTGAGCTGGCGCGGCCACTCCCCGGGCCCGGATCACCTTCTCCTGACAGGGCCACTCCTCGGGCCCGGATCACTCCCTCCTGACGGGGCTACTCCTCGGGCCCGGATCACCTTCTCCCGACAGGGCTACTCCTCGGGCCCGGATCACCTTCTCCTGACAGCGCTACTCCTCGGACCCGGATCACTCTCTGCTGACGGGGCCACTCCTCGGGCCCGGATCACTCCCTCCTGACGGGGCCACTCCTGACGCACCGACCTTACAGTATCCTGACCAACGTCGGTTACAGTATCCTGACCAGCGGGCGGGGCCTAGCCCCCGATCAGGGGCAGGTGAGTGTGGTCGAGCAAGGTGTCAGCAACGGCTCTGTCGGAACGGGTCAGGTGTCGAAAGTTAAATCTCAAATCAGGATCATGCAGCATGTAGCACCTGGCTCCAGCAGGAGGTTGACAGCAACACCGGCCATTTCACTCCCCACAGCTGACCTGCTGCTGGTCAGCGGGGCTGAGATGTCCCGGTAGCCAGCTGCTGGTGCGCCGAACGGATGTCATCAAGGTGTGACGTCATACCCGCTCGCTCCGTCACGTGGCGTTTCGGTGAATGTATTGGGCGGGCTGGACGTGGGAGCCGTAGCGTTCAGACAACCAAACGTCTCCCAGGAACCACAGTATTGACCAGTGGCGGGCTATTGACGCGTGCCGCAGAGGCCTGAAGAGAATTTCTCCGGTACTGGTCGATCGATCGTCGCTGTATGACGTCCACTGTGCTGTTTCGTGAAGCCAGACAGCATGAAAGCAAGCGCTCCGCGTGGATGGTGAGCCTGCACTCAATGCGAACTCTTCGGAGTTGCCCGGGCGCGGCGCCCACGTCTATTGTCGTTACTGATCCGGCTAACATGTGTCCTGAGCTGAGGAGAAGTTTCGTAAAATGAGTTAGGGAAGGGGCTGAGCTGAGCAGTATAAAATGGCACAACCTGTAGGTTACGCTGCATATCCCCCTTCCCATAAATACACTACCAGATTGGTTTTACCATGGATTTAGCCCACTTCCTTCTCCAAGTTTGGTGGCTGGAGCCCAAGTTGGGGGGGGGGGGGGGGGGGATGGAGCCACTCCCCCAGTTTAGAAAACTAAACCTCCTGGTCATTAGACTGACGTTAGAGCATTGCTCGTCGCGCGTGTGGCAGCTGACTTATCCGCGTGGTGCTGTCGTGCTCCGTCTGCCCTTCGCCGACGCTCGTGCTGGAGCGTCCTGACATGCGCCGTGTCACAACAACGCGACCCTAGGGGATCCGTACGTCGGAGCCGTCACTGTTTTCCGCCGGCACGACTATGATACTGCGATATTCACTCGACCTTCACATGTTGTGACAGTGGTGCGAGGTACGAAACGCCCGTAGCAAGCAGAAGCGGCGCGCCAAGCCGACTCCTGCTACGCGCGTTCATCGCCCCACCGGGCGAGGTTGCCCCCCTCCTAGATGGGCACGTGGCGTGACGTGTCGGCCCTGGCCCACCTGGACCACGTGCTCATCCTCGCCACGTGCCTGGCACGACCGTCCGCGACGCGTGCGCGGCTTCGAACAGGGACAACGACACGTGACAGTGCGTGCGAAACGACCGGCGCGGTACCGTCAGCTCCGACACGCACAACGGAAGGGTCGCGATAGCGGCGGAAAGGCGCCGGCGACGAGGCTGACGAAGTACAGAGCCGTGTGGCAGTCAGAGGTGCGCGCAGTTTGGATGATCACATTGTAAAAATGCATGCTTGGCCATTGGTTCGGACGAGGCGTAGTTTATGCCACGTCAACGGCCTCAATGGGCTGCCCATTTTGCTGGCCAGAGCTAATGCTGGCCAGTGGCCGTGCAGGGATCCGGAAAAAGGAGATCTAGTGCACTGCAGTTTGCCGTGGGAGAAAATGACGTGCGTGAAATAAAGCTTGTTTTACACTATTGAAAGTTTGAGTAATCGGTGGGGTGGAGGAGCGGAGAGGGGACAAGCCCCCTCCACCCGTACCGCCCCTGAGCTGGTGCCACTGCCGTCTGATTTCATCAGCGATCGTTGGCTGGGCGATCTCTCTGTCGCAGCTGATCATTGCTGCAGCGACACCTCTGCAGGCGGCTGATTGGTGACCCGCACGGCGTGCCCAGGGACCGGGCAGACCTGTGTTACCATCCGCTGAGCCGGTGGTCAGGGCGCCGCTGCTCGCAACGCCATTCGATTGGTTATTTGGCGCCGGACTTGTGGGCCCATCAACTGCTAACGGCTTTCCTGTCGCCACACCGGTCCTCAAGAAATTCCGCGCTGTCCCTTGGGGCCGTTGTTACGATACGACAGTGTCGCTGTGAGTGGTGTCGTATTGCCGCGATGAGTCGCGATGTTTCGCTTGGTTTCCCCGGCTACTGGGCGGAGGGCGGCTGCCCGCCTCGGGACGCCCGCCTGCCGCCGCGCCTGCCTGCTGCGGGGCCTGGGTCGAGCCGCCGCGCCAGCCGGTCAGCCGGCGGCGCCGCACTCCCACTGACTTATCGACCCGCGGGGAGCCCGGCTTTCACAGACCGACGCCGGGTCGATACGCTGTGTTACTTGTTATTGGTTCCTTTCACGACTTTGCTTGCACAGCTGGCAGCAACTGCACAGAGTCACGGGGTGCTGGGTATGCCGGTTGTAGGCCGTAGTGTTTTGTTTGTTTTGACATGGAATGAAACTTTGTGAGTGACGTTACGCATGCCGTTTGCAAGGTAACGCTGGCCGTGACATTTTTTGCTCTTGCAAAACACGCTTATCACGATTTCCCTGGTAAGTGTTGCTGTTGCTCAAATAACAATATCATACCGTCCCTTCAAAAGTCCTTTGTTACAGCCGTATCTCATTAATTAGTCCGTTAAACGGCTTCTATCCAACGGGCCATTCGTTTCGTTAGTCTTGTCGATGCCGAAATAAGCTGTCCGCTTTCAGCCGAGCTAGATTAATTGTCTACTTCTAGTGGAGAGAAAGACACATGCCACCGGTGCTGTCCACCCTGAGGAGACACTGATGCCGCGCATCGGGCCCGGCCCGGTGGCCTCATCCCGCCCCCGTGCCGAAACAACGCCGATCAGAGATAGCCGTAACGGCCCAGGTATTGGCCGCGCCAGGCCGGCGACGCCCCGGTGACGTCACAACGCCCCAGTGACGTCACGACGTGCCGTTTCAGAGCAAGCCAGCGGCGGCGCCGCCGGCGCGGAGCCGGCGCCCCGAGGCTGTCGAGCCTCGCCGGCCTGCCCCGCCGCGGGCCGCGGCAGCACCGCCGCGCTCTGCGCCCGCCCCCACCAGACCGACGCGCACCCCCGCCAAGGAGAATCAGGTGAGGCCGTTCGGCGACACGTCTGTGAACACCTGCCGCCGCTGGGGACACACAGGCTCACGGACACCGGCCGTCGCTTGGGACACACAGACTCACGGACACCGGCCGTCGCTGGGGACACAGAGCCACGGACGCTGGCTGCCGCTCGGAACACACAGAGTCACGGACACCGGCTGCCGCTGGGGACACACAGAGTCACGGACACCGGCTGCCGCTGGGAGACACGTAGAGTCACCGGCGCCGGCCCACCCAGGGGAAGGCGGCGGTACCGGGCGCAGCGCGCCGCGTGTCAGGTTCACATCCCGTGCAGATGTCGTGTCACCTACATCCCCTGTTTGCCGCACGGTGCCGCCGAACCTGTGCCGTTGTTTGCCGGGCGAGGCGGCGCCGGTCGGCCTTGGCTGCAGCGGCCCCGGCGCCCGGCCCGTGGGAGGACGCCACGGAGGCGACCATGTTTGGCCCGCTCGCCGCGGCCCTCGGCCCACGAGCGCGCTGGAGCCGCCAGGGAGGGTCCTGTGACGGTGCGCTGGGGACCCTCCACCCAGCCGGCGGTCTGTCCCCGGACTCAACACTCGGGACCCTCCACCCAGCCGACGGTTTGTCCCTGGACTCGACACTCGGGACCCTCCACCCAGCCGGTGGTCTGTCCCCAGACTAGACATTCGGGACCCTCCATCCAGCCGGTGGTTTGTCCCTGGACTCGACACTCGGGTCCCTCCACCTAGCCGGCGGTCTGTCCCCGAACTCGACGCTCAGGACCCTCCACCCAGCCGGCGGTCTTTCCCCGTACTCGACACTCGGGACCCTCCACCCAGCCGGCGGTCTGTCCCCGGATCCACATTCGGGCTGCAGGCCTGTCCCGGGTCTTCAGACTCGGGTCTCCTCCCTTCTTATAGTCGGCCCCGGGCCGGGACGGAGGACTCCTCCCCTGCTGACAGTCTACCTCGGGACTCCAGACTCGGGTCTCCCCCTGCGCTGCTGACAGTTTACCCCGGGGCCCACACTCGGGTCGCCTCCCTGCCCCTGTCCGGCAGTTCGCCTCGGTACACCTGACCGCCCGCATCAGGCCTTGAATGGTGACACGGTGGGTCGGGGTGCACGAGGGATACCGATCTGCCCGTGTACTTGCGGTTTGGAGACAGGCCCGTGGCGAGCGCGGAATGTGGGTGATTGGGACATCGTTCGAATTCTCCACACGTGCTCCTTTTTACGGAGGAAAACTGCGGGCAACCTTTGGTGGTAGCGCTCGCGCTTCATGGGCCATGATACTTGTGAGGATTTTGAAGCGGGGCCGAGGAGGCATGGCTGCCCCACCGCACGACCGACGCTGCGACAAGGCGTTCAGGTTACGGTTGGATTTCTGGGAATGCTTTTCAAAATCGCACAATAGTCCATTTCCTGGGGATAATTAATCATTTACGATGCCCATCCGAGCTTGACGGAGGTCGGAATAGATGGTGCACTGCACAAATCTCGTAATGGCACACGGAGCTGGGCTTTGAAGATTTCCGCTGGGTGGGTCCATTCATTACTCACCTGATAACGCCAAGGCAGGCACATTTGCTTTCCAGGAGCCATGCCCAGCCCCAGTCAGGACGGATTGACTGGTAGCTGGCATCCAGTCACCACTCACAGCCAGCCCCAAACGCAGCTCAGAGGGATCCTCTGTGGATATGGGTGGGTGAGGGCGGGGGGGGGGACATCAATGCCATGTTTCCAGAGCTGAGGCGGCCGCCGTTGTGGGCCGTCCTTCGGTCGGGCCCGCTCACACGCCGTTCTGCCTCAGCCACCGTCTGCCGCTGGGCCCCGCCCGCCGCCGGCCGACCCCAACCTGGCCCAGTGTCCGATCTGCTCCCGCGCCTTCGCGAAGGACCGGCTGGACAAGCACCAGGCCATCTGCGAGAAGTCCACCAAGAAGAAGCGCAAGGTGTTCGACCCGGTCAAGATGCGTGTGCAGGGCACCGAGTCCGAGAGCTACCTGCGCAAGATCAAGTCCAAGAAGCCCGAGAAGGTGAGCGTCGGCAGTCAGTGCGCGGCTAGATCAGGTGTTCGAGGTTTATGATGCGGTGAGTCGGGGAGCGCCGTGAGTGTCGCTCCCATCAGCTTAACGCGCCAAATCCTGCACCCCATCGGCTGCCATGCCCGCGGTCCAGCCGCTCATTGCGTTGTGTTTGCTACACCCGTCCGTATATGAAATAGGCGTAACATCGCGCTCTCCGTCCGCACAGCAGGTGGCGCCACCGAAGAAGGACTGGCGCAAGCAGCACGAGGAGTTCATCCGCAACATTCGCGCGGCGAAGAAGGCGCAGGCGCATCTGGCGGCCGGCGGAAAGCTGGAGGACCTGCCGCCACCGCCGCCCATGGACACGTCCGACTACGTCACGTGTCCACACTGCGGCCGCCGCTTCAGCGAAGCGGCCGCCGACCGACACGTGCCCAAGTGCGCCACGATCGCCAGCAACAAGCCGGCGGCGGGCCGTGCACAGAAGTCAGCCGCCCGTGCTCCGCCGGCAAGGCTTCGCCGCTAGGGGCGCTGCGGTCTTGCCGCCAGGGGCGCTGGGGTCGCGGTGGTGGGAGCGCTGTGGTCGCGCCGCTAGAGGTGCTGCGATCGTTCCGTCAGAGGCGCTGCAGCTGAGCCGCCAGAGCTGCTGCTGTCGTGAGGATCGGAGGTCTGGAATTGGTGGTGACGTGGCTCTTGGCAGATGGCAGGGCCGATCGGACCGGATTTTCTGCGCTTCTTGAAAGGCAGTGGGTGTAAATAAGGGTCAGGCCTAGCTTGAACATGCGCTGATGACTGGCTGGCTCATGTTTGACGCCAATTTCTGTGTTAGAGACGACCTGGGACGTGGACAATTCCGACACGTCATTGGTATTTTTTTACCTATTTACACGTTTCTGAGAAACCTTCACGAACCCTGGTGTTCATGTAAAAATGCTTAAGTTGAAGTTCAGTCCATGTTTTGCTGACTAGAACGATGAACTAAAAAAGATGACTGGCCGTGAAAACAAAACGAAAGCATGCCAACTAAAACACTGGTCCTAATGTAGTCGTCTTGAAATCGATGTCTAACATCTTAACGGTTTTTATGGTTTCGTGAGCATGTTGCGCCTCCTCCCCCCATATGCAGAAATCATTTGCAGTGATATTCCTTGACCTGGGACTGTCACATCGTGTTGTGAAAACTGGAACTCTTCACAGCCTTTTTAAGAAAACCATGTTGTTTATGACAGAAAGCCTTTTTCTGTGATATGAGAACGAGAGATATAATGTAGTAACTTAACATTGCATGCCGTTTCAACGGAAACAAACTTACAAGTAGACCATAACGCGAAGCCAGCAGCCGAAATGCCCGGCAGGGCAGAGATGCAACTGGGGGCGGCAGTTTTCTACATGATGTTCCGCACGTCGACAGGAAAGCATCTTGGCGCCGCGAACGTTTCGCAGCGGTTCCTGAGCTGCGCGTATGACAGTGACGCTTGTATTCTGCGCCTCCGGGGCGGCTAGCCGACTCCGCTCTTGCTGCACCGGTGACTGAGCGTGTTGTGTTCGCTTGAATGCCAGGGTATGGTGTGCCGCCTGCGGACTGTGGCGGGCGTGTGGTAACGAAACTCAGTTGGATCTATGTGTAGTGTGGAAGCTGGTGAAAAATAAACTGCCTGTTGGCCCAACTAGCTGATTTAAGCAGCGACTGAGGACCAGCAAAATGAAGTGGGCGTGGTAGTGATCTTCAGAGTCGCCGTTATACCGTCCTCTTTCGGAGTCGCTTTTGCGAATCTAGTTGACCGATGCTAAAAGCTTACATCCGGCAACAGAGCGCTGTGGGAAGGCCAGGTGCCCGCACCGGCACCAGCCTCAATACGGAGTGGTCGGTCTGGGTCTCCTCGTTTGCTACAATCACCAGCGACACCGGCCCCAGTGAATCCCAGGCGGCGAACATCTGGCATACGGAGCACCACCCGATCGTTCAACGTCCAAATCGCGGTCTAAATCTCGTCTTACGTCTACAGCAGCCAGAGTGGTTTGGGGAAGATCCTGGAACGCCAGCGCGAATGATCACGCCCTCGTCGACAAATCCCCACGCAAACCGCGAACACTTGTGGCAGCGTCGCCACGGACGAGGCACTCCGGCCAGATGCGGCCCTGGCTGCATCCAACACGATCCACCCGCTGGCGGCTTTGGTGACCAGCTCCCGGCCTAGACGCTTGCCGCCCAAGCTCAAGCCACTCCTTCAAGATAACCGAAAACCAGTGAAGTGCGACGGTGGGCTGGTGCGAGCAATGGCCCGTATTCGTCGCACGACGCCAGCTACGAGTACCTCGTGGTCAGGTCAGAGGTCACGCTCGTGGGTTTATTACGGCACTGACAAGGATCGTCATTACAATGCTAAGCATATACGTGGCAATTCGTGTTTTGCTTAGGCGCACATGCAGCGTAACGTAGCTTTAAAAATCACTCGCGACTCACCCCAGTATCAGCCACTCCAAATAAAAAAACCAACGACAGGGCCGGGAAAGTGTGACGTCATTTCAACTTTGCATATTTCATACAGCACTGCCAGGGCAGTTCGGAGGTTTTCCCGGAGAATCACGCATTCAATTCATGCACTTCTGGTAACTGCCGTCGTCCAATGAAAATCTGCGAATGAACCAGCATGGTAAATGACCACTCAACAAAGACCTCGAACAGCTCCCATTTCAGCCCCATCAAAACAGCGGAAGGTCTCGACAAACACACCTGGCGAAACCACCCTCCGCGCAACGCGCCAGTTCCGCCGCGCGGCGAAGGCGCCCCGCCCACGACAGCCTGCCGCGCACGCTGTGGAAGGTAGCCGCTCGTCACCGGGACTCATCTTACACCTAGGCTTTGTACAGTGGTCTCCACACTGACTCCACTCCACTCCGGCGGCGGCGCCGTCCGCCGTCCCACCGACGCCGCTGTCGGGTCAGCCGGCGTCGCCTCCGGCGGCGGCGCCGGCCTCGTCGAAGCCCCGGCGCCGCCGCTCCGCCCCCTGGCGGCGCCGCCGCCGGGTCAGCCGGCCTCGCCCCCGCCGCCGGCGGCGCCGTCGTGCCGCTCACTCCAGCGTGTCCCGCTCGCACACGCCCGTCTCCTTGTACGGTTTGTCGGCGCACACGGGCACCGTGTCGCGCAGGCTGGGCGGCAGACACTCGCGCAGCTTGTCGTGCTTCTCCTGCGGCATGTTGAAGGCCATCAGGCTGCGCTTCAGCCAGCAGGCGCGGCAGCGCGTATCGGCCGCGTGGCGCGGCACCAGCACCGGGATGTGACACTGGCCCAGCCCCAACTGGCACTGCACCGGCTGCGTCACCGGCTGGCGCGCCACGAACTTGCGGCAGGCCTCGCACGCGTACGAGTCGTACAGCCGGCACTGGTCCGTGTAGGTGTAGTACTTGGTGCCGCCGCAGACGCCACACGTCACGTAGCCGGGCGAGGTGTGAGCTGGCGGCGGGCCCACGTCCAGCGGCGGGCTGCTGGAGGCGACACGCCGGTCAGGCAGCCATACTGGCGCCGCGGCAGGGGTGCGGGGCCACGGGGGGGGGGGGGGCGCCCCGCCCGGCGGGGGTAGCCGGGACACGCGGTGCGAACGACGGGCGAGCACGGGCGGTGATGGGAGTCACATGTCCGGGAACTGAAGAACACTACCACAGGCGTGACTCAAACCGCATCCATCAAGTCATGCTGACAGGTTTAGACGCAGGCAACATCTCACGTGATAGCAAGGTCACAGCCCGGCCAAACAGCTGGTGGGTCAGTGATCGGTAACCATGAGATCTCTTGGGAAATTCGACAAAGGTTCACAATATGGAAACTGAGGGAGGGTCTCTGTGGGTAATGGGAAGGCAGATGGTGAAGAGGTGGATGGTGGGAACATGGATGATAAAAAGGTGGATGATGGCAAGGTGGAAGATGGAAAGGCGAATGAAGGAAAGGTGGGTGGTGAAACAAAGACATTAAGCATAACTCAATGCACAGCTTCAATTTATGAACTGCGTATGCGTGGCAATTCAAGTTTTGTTTATGCGCACACGCAGAGTAGAGCAACAGCATACCCGCGCCGGTCGTAACGGCTTTATGGCTGTCCCACGCCCTGCACATCCCGAACAGTCTAGGCCGCCCCCAAAAACGGATGACAGATATTAAGAGAAGCATCAGCACGATACTCCACAAAAGGCCGTCATCGCCACACTGCTTCGCCTGTGCCCCCGCCACACAGCCGTCTGCGGCGCGGCGCGACCAGCTGACCTGGCCGGCGGCAGCGGCGGCGGGTCCGGCGGCTGGTACACGCGGTACTGCGTCTGGTGGTAGATGGGGTCGCGTTGGCCGGGTCGCAGCGCCGGGATCTCCGACGGCAGCACGGCGTACTCCTCCGGTTCGTCCGGGTCGTCGGTGGTCAGCCGGCGCAGCTGCTGCTGCTGCTGCTGCGAGCGCGACAGCTTCAGCTTCATCGGCGCGCCCGTCACGGAGCGCACGGCGAACGTGTCGGCCGAGCGGGCGCCGGCGCCGGCGCCGCCGCCCCGGCCACCAGCGGCCGCGGCCCGACGCCGGCTCCGGCTGACGCGTGCGCAGGTTCTCCTGCCGGCCACAGGGTGGAGGGTGAGGTGGACGCCACGTGCGGCCGCAGAGCGAACGGCGAGAGCCGGCGGGGACGCTGCCCCAGTGACGGAAACGCTGAAGCTGGAGGATGCTGGACGATGTGCATTAAGCAGGCGGTGACAATTGACCAATACATCAAATTACCTGCCCAGGCACAAACACAATGGTGAGCAAATAATAACAATCATGCTACGGTTATTTTGTGGCACACACCAAATTTGCGGCCAAAAGCGCCACGCCTCTCTCACGGTTTCTACTGTGAGAAACAGAAGACAAGCGAACTGCATGTCTCGCGTTTACAACACCCTCGACTACCAATCGGACATACTGCGGCTGAGGTTCAGCGCCCCTCCAATACCGAGCCCACGCGCCCGGCCGCCAGCAGCGCACCCACCTGGAACTTGCTCCAGGCCTTCATGGCATGCTCCCGATGGAACTGCTTGAGGTGCTGCAACACCGACTGCGGGTCGCGGAACTTGGACTGGCACACGCGGCACACGTACGCCTCCTTCTTGCCGGCGGCTGCGTCAGACAGCGGCGCGGCAGTCAGGGCGACGCCGGCGAAGCGCACGCGCGATCATGCCGGCAAATACACTTAGCAGCTCTTGTGTCACTCCTTCCACACAGAAATGGGGGACCGATATTTGCAAAATCGATCTACGCAGGCAGATACTGAGCTTATGAGACCCAGAACTTGCCAGGATGATGCACTGCTGGAACTGGCTGAGACTCACCATCCTGCCGTTTCCTGTTCTGGGCGGCGGGCGGCGCCCGGCGGGGCGGCGGCGGCCGCGGCCGGGGGTCGTCCTCATCCGAGCTCGTGTCCTCCAGACGCCGAGGCTGCTGCTCCTGCGGCGCATAGGGGTCAGGCCAGGTTAGGTTGGGGTTCAGTGTCCTTAAGTTGACAAGCTGCTGCTTCTGCAGTACAACCACTAAACAGGGCAGGTCATGTCAGGGTTATGTGTCATTAGCCTGGTGGAAAACGCTCGTAGACACAAACGTATGTCCGCCTCCCCTACTTTCGTCTGCACAGCGCAAACCGGTCTGTTTCAACACATACAAAACCACCAACAACATACAACACAACCAAAAACAATCAGCAACTCCTGCCAACGACGGCCCACGCCAAAGCCTGACCGCGGAGCCCCGGCTGGCCGGCCTACCGACCGACCTTGGGCGTGCGGACGACGAGCGGCGGCACGCGCGGCGGCTCCGCCTGCTCCTCCTCGTCGCACTCGTGCTTGTCGAGGTCGCGGCGCCGGATGAACGACTGACCGCACAGCCGGCAGCCGTGCAGCTGCTGGCCGTGCACCAGGCCGTAGTGCACGCGCAGCGCCACCTGCGTGCCGCAGCGCGTCTGGCACAGCGCGCACGTGAACCTGAAGGCGGCGGGCGGCGCGTGAGCACGGCGACTGGGGGCTTGGTGCGACGCGCGCAGACCACCACACCACGCCGGGTCCCGGGTGACAATCGCTGCTTTGATGCGCTGTGGTCAGGTGGTGTGAATTGGCGACGGCGGCGTGCCCTTCAGGCCGGCACAGCCAGTGACATGCAAGTCTAATCGCAGGCGTCATGGCAGATGCTTTGGGAACTAGCATGCGCCTTCTCAGCTGAAATACTGTCACCCTGCACAGCATACTGTACAGGATGTGGAAGCTCTAACCGCGACAGCGTTGCACTACACTTTGAGCGGGAGCCGCGCCCACGCGCGGCACACCCCGGCCGTTCGCCGGGCGCCTGCAGCCGCGCGTCCGGGCGGCGCGGCGCACCTGGAGGCCTGCGACTTCTTGCCGCCGGCGCCGCCGCCGCGGCTGCGGTACATGTTGGCCGTGGAGGCGAGCAGATCGAGCCCGCTGGCGGCGCCGTTGGCCACCTCGTCGGCCGGCGCGCCGAACAGCTGCGCAGCGTCTCGCGGCTTGTAGAAGTCGGACAGGTTAACCACGATCACCTGTCGGCGTCAGCGCGGGGCGGTTAGCCGCCGCCGGCGGGCCGGGACTCCGGAGGACGGGGTGGCGCGGCACCGAGGCGCGGGGGCGGGGTGGTCACCGCCGCCGGGGGGAGGGGAGGGGGCGGGGCTCCGGAGGACGGGTGGCGCGGCACCGGGGCGCCGGGGCGGGGCGGTCGCCGCCGGCGGGGGGGGGGGGGGGGGGGAGGGGGACCCCGGAGGACGGGGGGTGGCGCGGCACCGAGGCGCGGGGGCGGGGCGGGACTCCGGAAAACGGGGTGGCGCGGGGGCGGGGCGGTCACCGCCGCCGGGGAGAGGGGGGGGGGGGGGGGGGTGGGGGGGGTGCGGACTCCGGAGGACGGGGTGGCGCGGCACCGAGGGGCGGAGCGTTCGGATAGGTCTACTGCAGCGCGCGGGGCTAAATCGTCCGCCATATTCCGAACTATTACCGCCAGGTCTACATACAATCGTCATCCTCACATACCGTCCTCACACCAAGTAACTACATGCACACCATCTATATAACTACGTCTACACCATCTTCTAACTACATCTACACCACCACCCACATCTACCTGCGGCCCTACGACCTAGATCAACTAATGCATGCAAATATCAAACAAATATAGACACACTGTGTGCATTGGTTTCAAAAGTAGGTAAGCCACCACACAAAAAGCAATGAAACCACTCCCACATCACAGCCTGATCATCCCGCTTCTCATTGGCAGTCCCTTCACCGCCGGCGCCGCTCGGCGCACCTGCGAGCCGACGTCGATCTCGATGCTCTTGGTGAGGTCGTCGACGCCAATCTTGGGCGCCCAGTCGGTGACGGGCCGCGGCTCGGGTGCCGGCTCGCCGGCACCGTCCGTCTCCGGCGCGTGCTGCTCCAGCAGGTAGTCCAGGTAGCCGGGCCCGTGGCCGTTGGACAGCCGATCCAGCCGCTTGGCCAGCGGGCTGCGCAAGCTGAACGTGAACTTCTCCATGGCCCCACCGCCCGCCACCTGGAGGCGACGGCGCGAAGGTTTGGAGCGGTGCCGGCGATCCGTAGCGCGGCGACCATTCGCGCCCGCCCTGTCCGGTGTCGGCGACCACTCGCGCCCGCCCTGTCCTGTCCGGCGACTACTCGCGCCCGCCCTGTCCGGTGTCGGCGACCACTCGCGCCTGCCCTGTCCTGTCCGGCGACCACTCGCGCCCGCCCTGTCCGGTGTTGGCGACCACTCGCGCCCGCCCTGTCCGGTGTTGGGGTTGGGCAGAGAACTGTGGTCAGTGGTGCAGCACACCCTGAGCTGTGGGACTTACTCTGCTATACTCTGTTTCACTGCTGTAATTATACTGTGTTTTACTCTGCTTTACTACTCTGCTATTTACTCTGCTTCACTGGATACGTTGGATTCCCCCTGCATGCTCCCACGATTCAGCAGCAGAGAGCTGGGGCTTCTCCATAATCAACCAAGCATGTGCATTTGATCTCAATCCTTGAATAAAGGCACTGCTTGCATGGAAGTGCACAGAGCTGTTCCCTGCCATGTCATGTCAGAGAGATGGAGGGAAATTTGCTGAAAATCAACAGTGCTCTTTCCAATAGGCAAAATGCATGCCACATTGGAGTTTGTGATCTAAAAGCACAAACCAAAAACAAATTTACCACCATCCATCATCCTGATTCTCAGTTGGCCTTAACCAAAACATGACTTCTCAGGCCAGCAACAGCAAACATTGCATGAATATTGTATGTTTGTTGATGATGATTTGGGTTTTAGGGTAGACCGACTGGCCTGGTCATATGGTGCATGTAACACAACATTCCTAAATTCATCCAGTGGGCCATGCAGGACATAAATATAAATTTATGCTACAAGCAGCCTGGCCCTTCCAGCACACCCCCCCCCCCCAATTTATTGGTACTAATCTGTTACCCTATAATCCTGAACCAAGACATGTCACTTGCCCCAGCCTATTTGCCAAGCCTGAGGTGCCTGGATGCCAGGTTAACAGCCACCTGGTTCAATGCTGATGGGCTGATTTTGAGCAGGGGGGGGGGGGGAACAACAGGCAGTGAGCCCCTAGGCTGGGGGGGGGGGGGTGTAGTATGAAAAAACATCAACATCCCTGCCACCCATGTGGCCAGATATTGGAACACTGATGTAATATGGCAGGTCTTATGGCATCTACCTATTTACAGTGTCCTTGATGGTAAGACTGCATATTCAGGCCAGGTTCAGTACAATTGGTATACAGCTTGATAAAAGTATCAATGTAACTAGGCTGGCACAATGTCACAATACTGGAATTATTCAGTGGACCCTTAGGCTTCAACTTCTTAGATACGTGACATTGACGTGCCATCAAACTCATACTCATACTACGCACCTTGCTTTACAAATATTGGTATGTGTTCCGGGGCAGAAAAAGATGCAAGTGTTGTCTCCTTATGATATCATGTGCAATTATCATCATCCCCTAAATGAATCAAATCAGAAAAGACAGCATGCTGGTCAAAATAATTTGGCTCTAAAAAGGGCCAGTGAGATATAGTGAAGGTGCTTGCGGTGCATTTGATTGGTCCAGAAATAAATATATATATAGAAAACAGAAATAAAAGGTGTCACCTTGGTGGTTTGGCTTCTAGATTTGAAGAACAAAACTTGCCCAAAATTGGGATCAGCATGGAAGAGAACATTGAAAATCAGAGACTCACAACATTTTATTCCAGGTGTCAAATATTGAGACAATCATTATTTTGATAATCTGGTACACCAGTGGTTTTAAACCCAGGTCATGCAAACCACATCAATGCAACTGTAAAACAGGAGCAAAGAAGGATAAGTAAATACTTCTGCATGAACAAAACCCAGCAGGCCACCTATCTACCACTGTGACATCACATGCATCCTCCAGGTGGCTTTGCTCAGCAACCTTAGTGAAAGACACATGGATATTTTCACACCATTGCATCTTTGCATTGGGGCTCATTGTTGCCCTTCACCCCATCCTCTTACACAAGACTAATCAATCCGGCATCTGGATATCTCTGATATGACAAAATAGATAGGCATACCAGAATACAAGCTAATAGTTCAGTAGTCTGATAGCCAACCAAGCAGAGTGAGATACATTACAAAGGAAAATAATCAAGAAGCCTGACACCATGAACTATCACTTATTTGAACTTGTATAAATTTATGATAAATGTGCTTGGCCACATCAACTTGCTACTCTCTCATTTCCTTGAAAAAATTGAGTACATGTGCTGTGTTCAGATCTAATCCCTGTTTGCCTACATATTTACTGTTTACTGAGCCAAATCACAAACATACTGTAATGTTGGACAGATTCTCTGCAGGATGCTCACAAGCTTTGGGTGTGCTCTGCCACTCAAAGACAATTACTGCACAGAAGACTGCACAGAATAAAAAGAAAATAGGCATGCAAAGTGAGATGTGGTACAAAAAAACACTCATGCCAACAAATGTCTCACGTTATGCCAAAATATCAGCATTGGTTTTATTTTGCATGGAAAATTAGACCACAAGGAATATTTCCCAGACTAAAGGCAGACTGGAAAATGCACTCAAGCTCAAACTGCATAATAGCCAAATTATCTTACTGTGTCTAGGATAGCAAGAACCTACTAGAAACAATTTCAAGACCTGCACACTATAATTCCCAAACCTTAAATTTCATGAACACGAACAGCAACTTTCTGAACTAGTCAATGCTTCATAGAAACAGTGACAGGGTAAATTGAAGTAACTATGCTCAAAAGCAATTTTAATGGGAAAAAACTAAATTTAAGCACAATTTGGCCCAGTCTAGGTGAAGTGCACATACACTATAGGTCCAGCACATTA